TAACAAACAAAAATTCTCTTAATAATTTTTGTATGTATCCTAATATTAAATTGTGCTTTATTTTCGCTATTTCTTTGTTAGTGTATTTGATTCTACTTACGGATGTAAATAGATTTAAGTAAATCTAAAGATTATCCTTAAGTATAAATTGTTCTTAAGAATAAATATGAATTGTTTGACTGAATTTAAAGAAAATTAATAATGTTCCAGTAAATTTATTTAAGAAGGATAGGTAAGCAGGAAAGAGGTACAGCCAGCGAAAGTTTTGGGGGTCTTCAAATATTTTGAAGCCCATATGGGGGTTCTTACAGAACCCATGGGAGGGATAAGGGGTACCCATTGTCATCTAGGGGTACCCACCACAACAACATTTTGAGTCTGCAACAACAACAAACATAATCGATGATATTTTCTTTGTGACATACATAAATATTTTTGTACGTAGCCGTGTGTGGACGACTGAGCATAGCCGATACAAAATGATAGAGTAGGCCTCCTGTCACCATGGTCAAACCAATCTACGGTTTCACACACGCCCCTGAACGTTACAACTGATATGACTGTTATAAGTGTTCACGTACTGGTCGATTAATTTTTAGTCAAATGAGCACTAATTTGGAATTTACTGTATTTGGTACACCTCATAATTGAGGGCTGAATGATTTAAGAATAGCCAAAGTTAATTACTTTTTTAAACCCATTAGCACCTCAGATTGTGCATTAAGGTGGACTTGAGGGGGTACTATTACATGGAAAAAATTCTAAAATTTGTAGATATATTGAAATTTTTGTGTAAGATTTTCACCCCCCAAATACACATTTTTAGCCAAATCCTTTGAAATATGGTAAAATCAGGAGGTACCTTTATATGGGCACTACTCCGAAAATTCGACCTACATTGAAAACTTTCTTCTACCCCTTATAATTTAAGATGACAAATAGAGGCCAAATCAAAAATATAGCAGAACAACATAGCATGTCAAACTGAAAAAAAAATTTCGCGTGATTTAAATAAGTAAAAATAGTTTTATCCACCTCATAATTGAGGGCAGACTGCTTTCAGAATGGTCAAATATAATTACTATTTTACACCCATTACCGTAAGATGGGAACTAATTTTATTTGTCATTTAAATTGTAAATTGGAGACTCCATAATTCAATGACGATTCAACAAATATTCGGTCCCGTGCTACTTTCTTATATTTGTAATTTGTTCATGTTTTCACGATTTATTTCATATAGATGTAAATCCCAAATCAACGTTCCCAACCAATATTCTCTTGGGGGTTACAAATTCAATAGAATACAAAATTTTCTTTTCCGACCACACATTAGATGTGAATACTCCAATGTGGGGACTTTACTTAAATAAATTCCTATGTGGCAATTATCTGTATTATGGTTCCTTACCCCAGGATAGCATAAATACAATTTTTTAGCCAAATCAATTGATGAATGTGGTCAAGACCAATATGGGCCTTACTCCGAAAATTTTATGCGAAGAGGTTCTCTACCCCCTTAGAAACAAGGATGCCAAATAAGGGCCAAAAATAGAAGAAAATGGCGAAGACCCCAAAAATAGCTTAAATCATACGATGGTTATATATGATCGATATCATGACCTGCAAAAGCGATTTAAGGTATCTTGAATGTTCGGGAAGGATTTCTGGAAGGATAGAAATCCTCTTCTTACTAAAAGTCCCATTCGCTCTACTATTTTGCACCCTTTATATTTGATATTTTACTGATTGTGCTCCCAAAAAAATTTGCATTTTGAGCTCTCATTGGACGGATTATTGTCACACGAAAGAAGTAGGTCCACGCTTTGAAATGAGCCTCATTAGTCTTTTTCGGTCATTTTTGTTTGTTTAAATATGTGCGCATTTTCCAGCTGAAGCACGATGTAGGCCCTGGAGTTGAAAGGTAGATGTCAGTTAACATCGTATTTCGGACTTATTTAATTTTTTGGTGAAAAATTGTATATAGTGAAATATTATTCTTTATTTTGTTCACAAAAAATCCACTGATGTGATAATACAAATTGAAAAAAATTGACAAAAGAAGAATAACAAATTGAAAAAATTTTCAATTTGCTCTCTGATTTTTTACAGCAACCGTTTAAAGATCCTTACAAAGTTTGTCAATAGAATATACTTTTATTTTAAAAATCAATTCCATTGAATTTTTTTTCGATATTTTCCCGATTTGAGAATTTTTGCAATGAGATCTCTTTTTTGTGATTTTTTAGTGATTTTGAAAAATTGTCTTTTAACTTTGGTGTGATCGCGTTAAATTATTTCGATATCATCTATTCCGTTTCGCAACCACATAATTCGGTACTACACTTCCATGTAACCCGCCATCAATTTCAGTTCTCAAGAAATCAAGTCAATTAAATAAATTGGTATTAATATGTTGCGGGCCTTGTAAACGAAAAATCCCAAGTCGACAGCAAAAAAAAAAAATTTTACGTGGAAGGGCCTTAGAAAGTGGCCTTTTCGCCTACATGGTGGCCACCAACCATGAAAAACCACTAGCTTCCAGTATGCGCTAGAGTTGGGGAAGCCAGCGGTAGCTATAATGAACACTCCTGGATGGGCAGGCCACTGTAATGCCTCTCGTGACCGCCGTGTTCACTAAGTTTTTTTTGTTTTCTTTTATGGGGGAGTTAATAATGGAGACACCTGGGCACTGAAAAGGGGGGTAAACATAGTGCCAAGTATGTTTAGCCATGCCCAGGTGCCGTTTTGCTTGTTTTTTTGATTCGTTGGGGTGTAATGGTTTGTCGTTGCACCCTTTATAAAATATGGGTGGACAACTGGATTGTCATGCCATCAATCCATTGCCCACACCGATCGAAAGCCCAACATGTGAAATACAGGAAACAATATTCTCCATCATAGGAAAACCAAATAAACGCTGGGGAATACTTGCTTCTATTGAAAGAATTTAATGTTTCCTGCATCTCATCATGGGGGCCATACCTGCAAGAAAAAAGCTGAAAAGAAAAAAAAAATATTAATAAAAATTTTAATAATTAAAACTGGAACGATACCGCTTGGTGTTGGCTGTTGGTGTTTTGCGTGATTTTGACTTCTTAGTAATTTTGACATTTGGGTCATATGGTGAATCTAAGTCTCCAAATTTTAGGAAGTGTTCGGACAAACGAAAGATCCGTGTCGGCAAAACAGAGCGTAGAAAAATTGAATGATACTGTATTATCGGCAAAAGGGGATGTTTTTAAGAGTGAAAGTTACTCTTAAAAGGTTCGGAGAAAATGGGATTTCAGAATGTTGCAAAGGGTTTGTTGCAGATAAACCTAGAGGGGGACGACTGGTTTTAGGAAAAAAGGGACAAATCTTGAGGGCTAGGAAAATGGCTAGTAATGGAAAGGAACCATTTTTGTTCCCGAACCTATAAAAGGTAGTACTGATGGGAAAAACAGATTAGTTATTTAGTGCTGTTGAGCTAAAAAGCCTTTTTTTTGAACATATAATCGAAATATATTGACATTTTTATTTGTGAAAAAAATCTTTTGTTTTGTGAAAAGAAAAAAAAAATAAACGTGTAATTGGTAATTAGGTAAAGATATTTAAATTAAAAGAAAGGAAATGTGCAAACACATTAATAATTATGATGTATTAGGTGACTGGAGGGAGGAGAGAATAAGCCTTAAGTGTCAAAGGTTAATTAAACCGTTTCTTAAATATACTCCGACAAACAAATAAGGTAAGAAAATGAAGTGCTAGGAATGGACAGAAAAATATCCAACGTAACCATTCTTGTTTTATTCGGCAGGTCGGAGTCGGGTACAGACAGCGATATCTTGTGGGCAATATTCACATTAACACCACTGACCGACATTTGTACTTAAAGTGGTAAGTCAACTGTACCCAACGATATAGTGTCACCCGAGTACCATCTATGGGTGGACTGACACATTGAATTAACTCTCCACTCGTCAGTTTAAAGCTCAGCACCCAGAAAATACCCAATATATTTCCAACTTTGATTCTATGCTGTGAAGTCTCCAACCTGTTTTTTTTTTTAACGTCACAGTGTTCCGGGATTACATATAAACCTCTAACTATTTAAGTAATTCCAACGCAACGAATTCTTATTCTGACTAATGTTAAAAGGTTGCGGATGTGACGAAGTATTATTAGACTTCATCAGGATTTGAATGGTCGTAGAGGTGACCCTGGAGTATAAGACATATTGACAATTACAAACACATACAACACATTAACACATCACGAATTTTATTAATTTTTTTTTTTGACAACCAATTTTCATATTTTTAAGTTTTTTTTTATTTATTCCTCTATGTGTATTTATTGTTTATTTGAAATTTATTTATGTGATCTACTGTTAGAGTTAGGTATATCAACTTAAATGTTTTATTGAGTTTTTATTTGGACATTATTAGTTTATGTTCCTAGTAGGCAAGTTTTGAAACTATTCGTCGGATCCCCTTTGAGTCCAGGTAGAAAAGAGCTCTTTTTTTTGGTGACGTTAGGGTGGGTCGTATATTCGATAGTATAAAGCTTGTTTATTAGAGTAATTCTGTGTTTTGATCCTTATTGGATATTGTTTAGAGTTCGTCCAAAGGACTAAAGAAAACATTATAGTTATTTTCTAATCTGGTCAAAAGACCGTTCGTATAAAAAAGGTTAAAAAAAGAGAAATAATTATTACTTTGCTCTATACTCTTTTAACGAGTTATTTTTATTATTAAAGTTTAATTTATATTTTTTTTATAATTTTATCAATACAATTTTTTTTGTTAGTTTTTTTTTATATATTAGTTTTAATATCAATTATAATAAAATGACTTAATGTATGTTTAAAGAAAGAAAAGAATGAGGATGTGTTAAAGAGTTATTAAGGAGGGAATAAAAGGGAGGTAAGTGGTGTGGGATTGTGCGGAAAAAGGGGTCATCAGGACAATAAAAGGAAGAGATGATCAAAGGTAGGGAGGGCGGCTAAATGGCTCGTGTGTCAACAGACGTTATGGATTTGGATGGTATCATGTTCATCATTATAGTGTTGTTCTTTTGTTGGTGAATTCCCATAGTTTATTGTTGTTGTTCCTGAGCCGGATGTTGGGATGGGACTCACCCCAATGGGAGTCGGCAGAGCTGGTCGGCGATATCAAGACATCTCAGGCTGCCTAAGAGGGACACATAACAATATGGCGCCCAAACCAAAGAAACCATAGGGTTTGTAGAAGTTAGGAAGTGTATTCCATCGAGACACTTGGAAATAGACCACTAGAAGTAAAAGAAAATAGACCAACATTACTACTTTGCGTTTGGAACGACGAATTCAAAGGGTTTTTGTAGCCATTCTGGACAGGTGCCAGAACTTGATGTACAAAAACGTTTGGAGGCCGTGTTTTATATGGAAAGTATGTGATGAAAAATACAGACCAAGATAGTTTGTGACCCGCTGATCAGAAGGTTAAGCGGTTTCGCACAAATTATCTTGGATAGATGGCAGAGAATAGTATCCGTTTGAAATTTAAAAGTGACACAGATTCATTAACAGGATATCCGCTCTGGATTTAACCAGAGGACAGATGTATCCGTTTAGATGATCTGGGAAAGCTGTAACGTCTTCGGTGGGAGGCGTTATAGTGCACGTATTAAATTGTTGTTTTTTTTATTTTAATTTTGTGTTAATGTTTGATTGATCCATCAGTTCCATAAAGACCATAATAGCCTGCAACCGCACACACCACTCCTCTCCGAAAAAAACCTCCTGTAAAGACAGATAAAAATATTTATAATTAGAATTGTGTTTAAATTGTATTTTTTGCGTTGATAAAAAGTTGTAATGAGTACAGGGACTAGGTCCAAAGTAAAAGCTAAAAAGAGAGATAGACCACTGTTATTTGATTTAAATAGAACTATAGATAATTCAGAAGGAAAGAAAACAAAGGTAGCCAGTGACTCAACAGAAATGTCTGAAGAAACACCTACAGGTGGCAGTAACGTCCATGATTTTTCAGAGACGATAAATAACCGAACCCCCATCATGAATTCCCTAGGACCTGTGTTCTTGCAAAGTGCCTTAGAGCAAAATAGAAATGTGCAGAATACAGACCAAATAAAGGCTTTAGAGAATTCAGTTCAGTCTGTCCAATCTGAAATGAACGAAATTAAAAAGGCATTAAGCGAATTATCGATTAATATGCAGAAGATCGTTCAAAATACGGTCCAGCCTACACAACCTCTTGCGAATGTGCCAATAGCTCTAAATTCAAACACCAATATAGCTCAAAATGTTTCAGCCCGAAACAACGATATTCCTAATCGTTCTCATAGCAATACCGTTCCAAACAGCGACGCTCCAACAACTTCCAATAATAGTTTACCCCCAATAAGTACTTATCCGGGTAGACCACTGCCCATTGAACCAACCAAGGGAATGAATATCGTTCGTATAAATAAACTGGGACTAAATTTTGATGGTAGCTCAAATGGTCTGGGTGTAGAAGATTTTGTTTACAGACTTGAGTATTACCAAAAGCAGTATAAAATACCCTGGACTGAGATAATTAGGGATTTCCCACTATTGGTTTCCGGTAGAGCAGAGTCGTGGTATTGGCTCTTTCAAAAGACCCATCAATTTCATGACTGGGAGGAACTAAAGTACAGTCTATTGAGTCAGTATCAATCGTCTCGCTCTAATTTTGAGATTCTCACTGACCTAGCCCAAAGAAAGCAACACGCTAATGAGTCGGTAGATAGCTTCTTCCACACAATGGGTCAAATCAGAACAAAATTGGTTCAACCAATTTCAGAATTTGATATGATCAAGATAATGAAAAAGAATATAAAAGAAAATATCGGGAGAATTGTCTATCCAATACAGGTCACCTCTGTTGAGCAACTCCGAATCGAGTGCAACGAGGCTGAAAAAAACTTCTTGAGACGAGAAAATAAACCAGCCTTTACAACATCTCGTCCAATTAGGCAAGTTAGTGAACTTCACGAGGAAATGGACTTAGTGACAGAACAATCATACGCAGATGAAGAAATTGAAGTGTCCGCTATCCAAAATGATAGGCGATTAAAACCGCAGCTGACTTGCTGGAATTGTAGAAAAACTGGACATGGTTTTCGTGAATGTGAAGAGACCACGAGATCCCTTTTTTGCTACAAATGTGGCAATCCTGGAACTACAACACCAAAGTGCGGTATTTGTCAGCAGGGAAACTACAAGAAGGGCGTAGAGATGGAAGGGGGCTCGCGTCCGAATTACAACCCCGGAAAGTAATCTCTCCAAACATTAAACTCCAGCACAATAATGAATGTCATAACGCAAAATCCTACGCCCAAAGAAGACATCAAATTCCGCTTGATGAGCGTCGGAAAAATTATGATGAAGTTAGGGATAGAATCTTCGGAGAATTTGATTATCCAAAATACTGTAAAAAAATTCCCAAAGTTCGTCAAAAATTTAGAGATAAAAGAAGAAATTTTAAAATAATTGTCGAAGTCATAAACCGAAGCAGTAATAGAAATGATCCGAGACCTTTTGCAGATGTTGAAATCGAAGGAATCCGATTAAAAGGGTTGCTAGACTCAGGGGCCTCAGTAAGTTTAATGGGAAAAGGCTGTAGGGAAATTATACAAGAATTAGGCAAAGAAGTAGCACCCATATTCTCAAATGTAAAGACTGCGGCTGGAAATCAGCACCGAATAATCGGTAAAGTAAAACTAAAAATCAAATATAACGAGCTTGAAAAGGATATTGAATTATATCTATGCCCTGACTTGGAACAAGAGATATATTTAGGGGTTGATTTTTGGAAATTATTCCACGTTGCCCCTGAGGTAATTAGAGTGGATGAACTGAAGGTAGAACAAATTCAAAATGACATGGTTAACGGGGAGAATTATAAATTAAACCCCCATGAGTTAACACCACAGCAACAGGAAAGACTAGATAAAGTCCTGAAGAATTTTGATACATTCGAGGAAAAAGGATTGGGCAAAACTTCCTTGGACAAACATTCCATTAAGTTGATAGACGGCGCCGAACCTGTAAAGGATCGCCATTACCCAATATCTCCTGCAGTTCAATCCATCGTATATGAGGAAATAGACAAAATGCTTACTTTAAAGGTTATAGAAGAAAGTGAGAGTCCTTGGTCCAATCGGACAACTATAGTACGGAAACCAGGAAAGAATCGCTTCTGCTTAGATGCGAGAAAACTTAATAAACTCACCGTGAAGGATGCGTATCCGCTCCAAAATATTGAGGGCATCTTAAGCAGAATCGACGAGACATACTACATCAGCAGTGTTGATTTAAAGTTTGCATTTTGGCAGATAGAATTAGATGATGAAAGCAAAGCATACACAGCGTTTACAGTCCCTGGTCGCCCGTTATATCAATTTAGGGTGATGCCTTTCGGTCTTTGTAACGCGGCCCAACGCTTATGTAGGTTGATGGACAAAGTTATACCGTCACACCTGAAAGAAAACGTTTTCATTTATTTAGACGACTTGCTGGTCATCTCTAGTGATTTTGACGAACATTTGCGTCTATTATGGGAAGTAGCAGAGTGCTTAAAGAAAGCAAATCTAACGATAGGGCTTAAGAAATCCCAGTTCTGTTTCCGCGAACTGAGGTATTTGGGATTTATCATTGGCGATGGAAAACTAAAGACGGACCCAGACAAGGTAAAAGCCATTAAAAAGATCGCAGAACCACGTAGCGCTAGAGAAGTTAGAAGCTTCTTAGGGACAGCGGGATGGTATAGGCGTTTCATTAAAGATTTTGCCACCATCTCCGCTCCACTTACCGATACCCTAAAAAAGAGTAAGAACTTTAAAATCACGGAGGAAGCTAGAAAAGCTTTTGAAGCATTAAAAAAGGCTTTAACATCTGCCCCAGTCCTTCGCCATGCGGATTTTTCAAAACATTTCTACATTCAATGCGATGCTTCGGAATGTGGAATTGGGGCTGTGCTATATCAACTAAATAATAAGGGGGAAGAACACCCCATAGCGTTTTATTCGCAAAAGTTAAATTCCTGTCAACGCAATTATAGCGTGACAGAAAAAGAATGTCTAGCTGCAGTGATGGCTATCAAAAAGTTTCGACCATATGTGGAATTGATGCCATTCACTGTAATAACGGACCACGCTTCTTTAAAATGGCTTATGTCCTTAAAGGATTTAACGGGAAGACTAGCTAGGTGGTCATTACAATTGCAGGCATTTAATTTTAATATAGAACACCGGAAAGGAAGCGAGAATGTTGTAGCGGACATGTTGTCGAGGGCTCCAGTTGCCAATGTTAGCGAAATCACGAAAAATGACTACTTAGATTTTGAAACCCTGGAATTCGAGAGTCAAGAATATCTTGATCTCATTAAAACTGTTACCGACAACCAAGAAAAGTTGCCAGATTTAAAAGTAGAAGATGGGTATGTTTTTAAAAAGGTACTACCTAGCTTGGAAGAAAATGAGGAACTCACATGGAGGTTATGGATTCCCTCAAGTATAACCTCGGAAATAATAAAAAAAGCCCATAATTCTATGACGTCTGCACATGGCGGGATAATAAAGACCCTTGAACGTATAAGACGATTCTTCTATTGGCCTCGAATGACCGTTCAAGTGCGTGAATACGTAAGGAACTGTCAGGTTTGTAAGGAAACCAAAGCTAGCAATCAGCATATGATGCCCAGTATAGGAAAGGAGGTAGTAACTGATAGGCCGTTCCAAAAGCTGTATATAGATTTTTTAGGAAAATACCCAAGATCGAAAAAAGGTAATGCATACATTTTCATCGTTGTGGATCACTTCACTAAATTCACCTTTCTCAAAGCAATGAGGGAGGCAACCGTCGGCAACGTGATAAAATTCCTTGTCGATGAAATTTTTTATAAATTTGGTGTCCCCGAAGTGATCCACAGCGATAATGGTGCGCAGTTTACCTCCAAAATGTTCAAAGAGCTGATGGGAACTTATCAAATAAATCATATGAAAACAGCCATATATTCGCCACAGTCCAACGCATCGGAACGTGTGAACCAGTCGGTAATTTGTGCCATTCGGGCATATCTCGATAAAGATCATAGAGACTGGGATATGTATTTATCCGAAATAGAATGTGCATTGAGAAATTCTATACACACTTCGACTGGGGTTACGCCGTTCTTTGCGTTGTTTGGCTTTCATATGTACTCAAATGGACAGGATTATAGCTTGGCAAGGAAATTGAAATCCTTAACCGACCATGAGCTCAGTAATATGGATAGACCAAGTAAGCTAGAACTCATAAGAGCCAATATAAAAGAAAATTTACATCGAGTTTACATAAAAAGTTCTGAAAAATATAATAAACGTGCAAGGGTGTGTAAATTTCGACCTGGACAAGAAGTCTACCGGCGAAATACCGTCTTATCCGACTTTTCGAAAAATATTAATTCAAAATTCTGCAAAAAATTTGTTAAAGCCCGAATTGTCAAGCCCGTTGGACAAAACATGTATGAACTCGAGGATATGCAAGGAAAATCCATTGGTATTTACCATGTCAAAGACATAAAGTATTAGTGCAATATAGATTTAAATTCCGTGATAGACAAGTGCATTATTAGAATTAGGTTGACTTAATTACATGTTGTGCTTGTCCCATTCATATATTTACCTCTATAGTGCAATATACATTACGTCTGTGATATAACCAAATGTACCTGATTTTCATATAGAAGTGATTATTTAATGATTTATACCCTACCTCGTAATTATGCATCTACGCCCGAACTATACCTCCAATAAGATTCTACAACCTATAATCATAGCACCTCACTATTAATACCCTATTCGGTAATTAGATATCAATATTTTGACTTACGTAATCTTCCGACTTATTCGCGCATGAGTGACCAGATTTCTGTTCCAATTTTTTTTTTACCCAGTCGACTGACCTGTAAATACACACCAAGTAAGGACTTATGTGATAGACAAAAAAAAAATACTTCCCTAAATTAAAAGTAAACTCAGAGCCCGGCTTAATCTCAGGGTGTGAGAGTTCCCCACGTTGGGCTTGATCCCGGACGTCACATAGTTCGATACAGCCCGCACACCAGTCCTGCCTTCGGGCCTTGTCAGCCCTGGAGTTTTGTTGCGGGCCTTGTAAACGAAAAATCCCAAGTCGACAGCAAAAAAAAAAAAATTTACGTGGAAGGGCCTTAGAAAGTGGCCTTTTCGCCTACATGGTGGCCACCAACCATGAAAAACCACTAGCTTCCAGTATGCGCTAGAGTTGGGGAAGCCAGCGGTAGCTATAATGAACACTCCTGGATGGGCAGGCCACTGTAATGCCTCTCGTGACCGCCGTGTTCACTAAGTTTTTTTTGTTTTCTTTTATGGGGGAGTTAATAATGGAGACACCTGGGCACTGAAAAGGGGGGTAAACATAGTGCCAAGTATGTTTAGCCATGCCCAGGTGCCGTTTTGCTTGTTTTTTTGATTCGTTGGGGTGTAATGGTTTGTCGTTGCACCCTTTATAAAATATGGGTGGACAACTGGATTGTCATGCCATCAATCCATTGCCCACACCGATCGAAAGCCCAACATGTGAAATACAGGAAACAATATTCTCCATCATAGGAAAACCAAATAAACGCTGGGGAATACTTGCTTCTATTGAAAGAATTTAATGTTTCCTGCATCTCATCATGGGGGCCATACCTGCAAGAAAAAAGCTGAAAAGAAAAAAAAAATATTAATAAAAATTTTAATAATTAAAACTGGAACGATACCGCTTGGTGTTGGCTGTTGGTGTTTTGCGTGATTTTGACTTCTTAGTAATTTTGACATTTGGGTCATATGGTGAATCTAAGTCTCCAAATTTTAGGAAGTGTTCGGACAAACGAAAGATCCGTGTCGGCAAAACAGAGCGTAGAAAAATTGAATGATACTGTATTATCGGCAAAAGGGGATGTTTTTAAGAGTGAAAGTTACTCTTAAAAGGTTCGGAGAAAATGGGATTTCAGAATGTTGCAAAGGGTTTGTTGCAGATAAACCTAGAGGGGGACGACTGGTTTTAGGAAAAAAGGGACAAATCTTGAGGGCTAGGAAAATGGCTAGTAATGGAAAGGAACCATTTTTGTTCCCGAACCTATAAAAGGTAGTACTGATGGGAAAAACAGATTAGTTATTTAGTGCTGTTGAGCTAAAAAGCCTTTTTTTTGAACATATAATCGAAATATATTGACATTTTTATTTGTGAAAAAAATCTTTTGTTTTGTGAAAAGAAAAAAAAAATAAACGTGTAATTGGTAATTAGGTAAAGATATTTAAATTAAAAGAAAGGAAATGTGCAAACACATTAATAATTATGATGTATTAGGTGACTGGAGGGAGGAGAGAATAAGCCTTAAGTGTCAAAGGTTAATTAAACCGTTTCTTAAATATACTCCGACAAACAAATAAGGTAAGAAAATGAAGTGCTAGGAATGGACAGAAAAATATCCAACGTAACCATTCTTGTTTTATTCGGCAGGTCGGAGTCGGGTACAGACAGCGATATCTTGTGGGCAATATTCACATTAACACCACTGACCGACATTTGTACTTAAAGTGGTAAGTCAACTGTACCCAACGATATAGTGTCACCCGAGTACCATCTATGGGTGGACTGACACATTGAATTAACTCTCCACTCGTCAGTTTAAAGCTCAGCACCCAGAAAATACCCAATATATTTCCAACTTTGATTCTATGCTGTGAAGTCTCCAACCTGTTTTTTTTTTAACGTCACAGTGTTCCGGGATTACATATAAACCTCTAACTATTTAAGTAATTCCAACGCAACGAATTCTTATTCTGACTAATGTTAAAAGGTTGCGGATGTGACGAAGTATTATTAGACTTCATCAGGATTTGAATGGTCGTAGAGGTGACCCTGGAGTATAAGACATATTGACAATTACAAACACATACAACACATTAACACATCACGAATTTTATTAATTTTTTTTTTTTGACAACCAATTTTCATATTTTTAAGTTTTTTTTTATTTATTCCTCTATGTGTATTTATTGTTTATTTGAAATTTATTTATGTGATCTACTGTTAGAGTTAGGTATATCAACTTAAATGTTTTATTGAGTTTTTATTTGGACATTATTAGTTTATGTTCCTAGTAGGCAAGTTTTGAAACTATTCGTCGGATCCCCTTTGAGTCCAGGTAGAAAAGAGCTCTTTTTTTGGTGACGTTAGGGTGGGTCGTATATTCGATAGTATAAAGCTTGTTTATTAGAGTAATTCTGTGTTTTGATCCTTATTGGATATTGTTTAGAGTTCGTCCAAAGGACTAAAGAAAACATTATAGTTATTTTCTAATCTGGTCAAAAGACCGTTCGTATAAAAAAGGTTAAAAAAAGAGAAATAATTATTACTTTGCTCTATACTCTTTTAACGAGTTATTTTTATTATTAAAGTTTAATTTATATTTTTTTTATAATTTTATCAATACAATTTTTTTTGTTAGTTTTTTTTATATATTAGTTTTAATATCAATTATAATAAAATGACTTAATGTATGTTTAAAGAAAGAAAAGAATGAGGATGTGTTAAAGAGTTATTAAGGAGGGAATAAAAGGGAGGTAAGTGGTGTGGGATTGTGCGGAAAAAGGGGTCATCAGGACAATAAAAGGAAGAGATGATCAAAGGTAGGGAGGGCGGCTAAATGGCTCGTGTGTCAACAGACGTTATGGATTTGGATGGTATCATGTTCATCATTATAGTGTTGTTCTTTTGTTGGTGAATTCCCATAGTTTATTGTTGTTGTTCCTGAGCCGGATGTTGGGATGGGACTCACCCCAATGGGAGTCGGCAGAGCTGGTCGGCGATATCAAGACATCTCAGGCTGCCTAAGAGGGACACATAACAAATATTCGAATTCAAAAATAACATGTAAAAACACTACAAATGTTCATTAAAAAAAGTAAGTCAAAATGGAAAAAAAAAATCATGCAAAATAAAACATTACTATTGTACATTTCAAAAGTCAAAATGAAAATGTTAATATATCACATTTTTATGCTTTTTTTTGTATATTATCCTTTTCGGATAGGAGACAATTTCAAATTTGTATGAATCTTTAAAATCAGTTCAGCGATTCTTAAGTTATAAGCGTAGTAACTAACACAACTTACTTTTATATATAAAGATTATTATTATTATATTTTTTTTTGACGATATGCTCCTAATGATTTACTCTCTCTGAATATACTACATATACTCTACGAGTGTGCTTTGTTAATTTATTTATTATGCAATTATTTTAAATAAACCACTACTTATATTAGCCTTAGTAAGCCATCAAACTAACAACTAACTGACATTTCAGAAGTTTGCCCAGAATATCAGAGGTTGGAATAGCAGAAAGGAATTCACTTTCTCTATACCGACAGGAGCCCGAGCACTCTAAGGCTTTCTGTGGGCCTTATTCATCAAAACTGATATCATCCTAAATACATTTGAACCGTGGAGAATTCATCCACACTACGAAACTCCGAATCAGAACTAAGAAAACACGACAATGACTCCATATACTCACTGATTTCAAAGGTCCGAAGGCACAATAGGAAATACAGACAACTCAACAATTATGTATGAATGCCGCATAAACCCGTTATCATTATGGACTCGTGGCTAGTATCCTTGTAGTTTTAAAACCAAGGGTTGATTTGCAATAACTTACAGAGGTATATAAAGTTTGTCATTCCGATTGTAACAACTCGATATAAGCATTTTAGACCCCAGTACCGGCAGGTTTAAGATGTGTTCGGACTTATAGTCACAGTTTTAAACCGTTAGTAAACTACTAATTGACAGCAAGTTCGGTTTCCAATATGTAGGAAACTTGAAATTGTCTCCATATAGGACAAAGTTTTGATATAGACCCCAGAGAAATGTGTCCCGAAATTCGAAATTCGGTATTTTGATGTTTTGTTTCATACTTTCGCCAAAATGTTTTCAAATGTTATATTTGAATTTCGTAATGGGTGTCACTTCCTATTACAGAAAATGTAGGTCCACGTCTTCACATAGGCCCTCACGTTTTGATATATGCACCTCATAGCAATGGTAGTAGGTGTTGTTGTAGCAGCTCATAATGCCGTGTTCGATCTGACTCTTCTCAATCGGGTTCTGCCTCTAAGTCCAGTCTCAAAAAGGATGCAACCTGTACGGGTTGGGTCCAGAACGAGACTGGAGTTAAGTGAGTAGGTTTGGCTGGACAGCGAGAAAGGTGCAGCGTGTCATGTGGTCCTGTGGTCCTGTGCCACAAGCTGGGTAGATGTTCTGCACATCGCTTTCGATCCGGGCCCAATAGGAATTGAGGCGATTGCACCATCAGTATTTGGTGGAGCCAAAACTAGTCGGGTTTGTCGGGACAGTTCTCGCTCTTCAGCTGCGATGGGAGGGGATGGTCTCCTAATGTAGTATTCACTATATATCCTTCAATAACTTCTGAGACCCCGTTAGAGTAAGTACTATTCAGTCCCGCTTGATAGGCCTGTTGATCTAGAGGCTCTCTCTATCTTTGTACCTGTCTCTCTAGATCATGAAGGTCTTTCCTTACGTGGGCGGAGGTTGCCTATCCACCAGGCAGTGATTCGGATGGCTCTGTCGGTAACACCCAAGCAGGTATTGCATTGACAGCACTTTATTATGCTGTCGCACCGGTAAGACCTTCGCCTTCTCTGTAGATGGTCGACAGCTGTCATGAGAAGGTGGTTCTAAGGGCGGCATTCTGGCAGGACCAGTTCGCAAGGATAGGTCCGTGAAATTTTGAAGAATAAAATA